CTAAGGCTGGTTTTGAACTCCTGACCTTGAACGATCCTCCTGCCTCCTGCCTTGGCCTCCCAGAGTGCTAGGATTACAGGTGTGAGCTACCGTGCCTGGCCGCTCTTTGCTCTTTTTTTTTTTTTTTTTTTTTGAGACAGAGTCTCGCTTTGTTGTCCAGGCTAGAGTGAGTGCCATGGCGTCAGCCTAGCTCACAGCAACCTCAAACTCCTGGGCTCAAGTGATCCTTCTGCCTCAGCCTCCCGAGTAGCTGGGACTACAGGCATGAGCCACCATGCCCGGCTAATTTTTTATATATATATCAGTTGGCCAATTAATTTCTTTCTATTTATAGTAGAGACGGGGTCTCGCTCTTGCTCAGGCTGGTTTTGAACTCCTGACCTTGAGCAATCCGCCCGCCTCGGCCTCCCAAGAGCTAGGATTACAGGCGTGAGCCACCACGCCCGGCCTTTGCTCTTTTTTTAAACAACCCTAGAAACTGTCATGTCAGTACAAATAGAACTGCCTTGTTTATTTGTTCATTTTAACTAGATATTTAAACAGTAGCCTGTTTATTCACATGTTGGTTATTTCAGTCTTCCCTTATTACAAACTGCTTCAGTGAATATCTTTAAAGATATATCATGTGTAGGTATATATGTAGGTAAAGTTTCTAGAGGTGGGATTGCTATGTCAAATTTTGATATTTTGATGGATATTTTGGAAAATTGCCCTCCACAGAGATTATACCAATTATACTCAACATACACAAGAGTGCCTTTTTTCACTATTCCGCAGCACAAAGTATTCCAACTTTTTTATCTTTCCTAATTGATACATTTAAAAATGGTCTTATGGCCGGGCGCAGTGGCTCATGCCTGTAATCCTAGCACTCTGGGGCCGAGGCGGGCGGATTGCTCAAGGTCAGGAGTTCAAAACCAGCCTGAGCGAGACCCCGTCTCTACCATAATAGAAAGAAATTAAATGGCCAACTAATAATATATATAAAAATCAGCGGGCATGGTGGCTCGTGCTGTAGTCCCAGCTACTCGGAGGCTGAGGCAGAGGATCGCTTGAGCCCAGAGTTTGAGGTGCTGTGAGTTAGGCTGACGCCACGGCACTCACTCTAGCCTAGGCAAGAAAGCGAGACTCTGTCTCAAAAAAAAAAAAAATGGTCTTATAATTTTAATTTGGTTTCATCTTATTCAAAGCTCTACCTATGTTTATGGGCCACTTGCACTTTCTGTTCTGTGAACTACACTCTCTGCCCATTTTCTATTGCACTTTTGTTTGTTTTGATTTGTCGGACTTTATATATTAAGGAAAATAGCACTTTGACAATGCATATGTAAGAATTTTTCCACTTTGTTTTTTCTTCCCTCCATAGTTAGTGTCTACTTCATACAGAACTCTTTTTAGTTTTGTATTGTTGAATTTATCTTTTCATTCTTTTTTTTTTTTTTTGAGACAGAGTCTCGCTTTGTTGCCCAGGCTAGAGTGAGTGCCGTGGCGTCAGCTAGCTCACAGCAACCCCAAACTCCTGGCTCAAGGGATCCTCCTGCCTCAGCCTCCCAAGTAGCTGGGATACAGGCATGCGCCCCATGCCAGCTAGTTTTTCTATATATATTATTTGGCCAATTAATTCTTTCTATTAAGTAGAGACGGGGCTCACTCCGCCAGGCTGGTCTCGAACTCCTGACCTCGATCAATCCGCCCGCCTCGGCCTCCCAGAGTGCTAGGATTACAGGCGTGAGCCACCGCGCCCGGCCTATCTTTTCATTCTTGGCATCTAGAAAGTTTAGCATTTAGATAGCATTTCCCTTGAAATTATGAAAAATTTCCTCAATGTTTTCTACTAGAAGATTTATTATTTTGTGTTCCACATTTAAATCTGTGATCCAGACAGAATTTATTGTAGTAGCAAGATAAGTAGGGCCCCACTGATATCTTTCTCCAGCTGCCCACCCAGTAGTGCCAACACCATTGATGGGGGCAGGAATTCAAGCACAGTGTGGCTGGATCCCCTGCTTTAGGGTCTTCCATGCAGCTGTGCCAGTTGAAAAGTCATCCAGGGCTGGGGTCTCATCAGAGACTCGACTGGAGGAGGATTCGCTTTCAGGTGCACACGGCTCAGTTCATTGTCGGTTGTCAGATTGCGAGCCTCAGCTCCTTGCTGGCTGCCTCCCAGAGGGTGCCCTAAGGTCCTTGCCACAGGGGCCTCTCCACAGTAGCAGATTATTTCAGCAAATCACAGAAGCGACATTCCATCACCTATACCACATTCTCTCTCTCTCTCTCTTTTTTTTTTTTTTGAGACAGGGTCTTGCTCCGTAACCCAGGCTGGAGTGCAGTATGCAATGGTGTCATCACAGCTCACAGCAACCTCAAACTGCTGGACTCAAGTGATCCTCCTGCCTCGGCTTCCTGAGTAGTGGTACATGTGTGCACCACCACACCCAGCTAATTTTACCATACTTTATTCTATTGGTTGGAAACAAGTCACAGGTTCTACTCACACTCTGGGGGAGGAGATCATACAAGGGTGAGAGCACAGAGGTGGGACTCACTGGGAGAGTCCACCTGCTGCAGTCCACCTCCCCACCCCCGTGATCCATGTCCCTCCCACAGGCAAAGTACATCTACCCTTTCAAGTTTTCCAGAGGTCTCATCCCACTACAGCAGCCCTCCGAAGTTCAAAATCTGGTCATCTAAATCAGAACGAGGTGTGTAGATGAGGCTCCTTGGGTGAAACTCATTAGGTTCAGGTGTAACTCCTGGAGCACAGCTCCTCCTCATCTGTGGACCTGTGGCACTAGTGAGACAAGCTGTCTGCCCCACACACCCAACATCCAACGGAGGGGCAGGAAAAGCATAGCAGCTAGAGACATTCCCCTTCAAAAAGGAAGAAAATGGGAGTGACACAGAGACACATAAAGAGAAGAACTCCGTGTGAAGACGGATGCAGAGATTGTGGTTATGCCAAGCAACACCTGAGGCCAAGAAGCCAGAAGGAGCAAGGGGAGATCCACCTTTGGAGCCTCCAGAGAGAGAGCGTGGGCGTGCCAACGCCTTCATTTCACACCTTTGGCTTCCAGAACCATGAGAGAATACATTTCTGTTGTTTTAAATCACCCACTTTGTGGCAATTTGTTATGACAGATCTAGCAAACTAATACAGGATTTAAGCATTTCTCTGAGACCCTGTCCCTTGGGCCTCCGATTATAAGTAATCAAGAAGGATCATTTCCATGACTTACATAAAAATTAAATTTCATGATCCTATATGCCAAAGAAAAATCCTTTAAAGTCATATTGTTAGCTACCTATGTAACTTTAAAAACAACTTGCTGATATGTGCTTAAAATTATCTCTAAACTCAGGATATACAAGAAACTATCATTTAACGCCTCTAGTGAAGGGGACTAGAATAGAGGAACAAAGGTAGGAGGGAAGCATTTTAAAATATATACCCTCTTGTGCTATTTGAGTTTTTATCTTGTGACTTTCTTTTCTTAAACACACACAAACAGTTAAGAAAAAAAAATAGCATGGCATTCCTATTGTTTAAACTATAAACTGTGATGTAGTTTCCATAGAGTTACATAAAAGTCTCTTTTAACCACCAATTGCTTAATCAAAATCAAACTATTAAGTTGTTTTTATAATGAATAGTGGTGTTACTAATAACAATATAAGAAACAGTTGTGACATTTTTGTGTTTTGTTATGTTGCTACTGCCTGAAATCTGTTTGCATATCAAATTTGTTCTTTCTTCACTTGTTTAATTTCTTTGTTATAATTTTGTTTGAATTGTTAGGGTATGTTTGCACCTTCCATAATATGGTTGAGTACAAGTGAAGGCATGCTGTAGTGATTGTTGCCATAATGGTCATTACAGTTAGATTCTCTTAAAAAAAAAAAAGTGATCCCAGGATATAGGCTGTTTATGAGTTGTTTTTTCCCCAATTAGAAAGCTGACATAGGCTTATGTGTGAATGTTAAGTTAAAGGTAATAATTATTACTTCACCTGTCAGTAAGTATTTTTGTAGACCCAAAGTAAAACTGCACACATTAATGTTCATTCATTCTTTCCTTCAAATGGATTGCCTGTGTGTGCCTTGTAATGTGATAGAGGCTAAGGATAAAAGCCATAAGGCAGGGAACCTGCTCTCGAGATGAGGGCAGACTAGTAACTGAGTATGTGTGTATGATTCACTCTGATGGGCACAGTAATAGTACACAGCAGCCCACGTGAAAGGGGTGAACTGCTGTGTCCAGCAGCTTTTAGAGGACATCATTATAGAAGCTTATGTGGTAAAAGTCATAGAGAGATGATTAATGTTGTTAATGGATCCATGATGGACTATATTTCACTTCCCTAACTGTAGTTCTAGGCCATTTAAACAGGCTAATTTCTGCCTCTTACATTATCAACTTCTTTGATTATTGGCAGTGTGTGTTCCTGATGTGCTCTTAGCATAGCAACTTTCAAAGACCTGACTGGGCTCACTCACACAGGTGAAGTGAGGATGACAACCATCAAATAAGAAGAATAAGCTGGAAGGAGAGAGAGGTTTCACTGTAAGGAAAGTAAAACAAAAGAGCTATAAATTTTGAAATTGAAAAAATTATACATTCTCAGCTAATTCATCTCCCTAGTGATTTGGTCCATGCCCTGCACTGCACTTGACAATTTCACTGTTAGGAGATGGGCATAAAGTTCATAAAACCGTTCGGAGCAGTATGGTTCCATCACGAGTTTAGTCTATTACTTAGTACAAGCCAATTTTGCTAAAGGACATGATTTTACCTGTGATAGCAGAGATGCTAGCTGCTTCCTTGCCGAGTACTCTTCTTCCTAGACACATGGCTAGACCATATGCCAGCCCGTTCGGCAGAGAAGCGTGCCCACGTGACTGAGTCCAGCCAACTGGGGGAGCTGAAGTGATGTGCGCCACCCCCAGGCCCGGCCCATTAAAACCTCCCAGGCTTAATCCTCCTTGCTCTTTGCACCTTGCAGCTGGCTGGGACGGAGATGACCCCAGGGCGACCTCAGAAGCCACCAGTTATGAAAAGCAGAGCCCCCATCAGCCCAGGTGCCCAAATGACTACACGAAGGAGGCACCCCACTGACCTGTTTGGTGAACAAGAAGTAAACTCTATGATATTTGTGCTGTTATGCATTTTAAGGTCAATTTGTTATAGTGGTTGACTTTTTCTAACTCATATACTTGACTGGTAAAATTTTTCTCTTTTACTTTTTTTGGGGAGCACACATGAAAGGATATGTTGAGGGAAATGTAATTATAATATTTGTGCTAGATATCTTTCAAATGCCCCTCTAGACCCATGCTCTGTCCTTCTGTGCCCTGAAGCCTGACCTACATCTCTGGGCCTCTCAGCCCTTTGACTGCCTGGGAGGTGAGGAGGAGTGGGGAGTGAGGTCAGGATATTTCTTGCCCTGGTTTGCTCTCTGCAAGGTCCCTTGGGCTGCCTGTGTGTTCTAACAGAAGTTCTTTGCTCCTCTCCGCTGGCTACACGGCTCTCTCTCTCCTACTGAGCTCAAATATGGGCTCCCTGCCCTTGTCTGTTTTGGCCTAGAGGTGTGTTGTCAGCCCAGGCTGCTATAGACCCAGGTTACTACAGCATCCTTTGTGGGGAGTCTGTGCCCACACACTGTATTGTCCCTCTTAGATAAACTCTCCTAGAATTGTCCTACTTTGAGTGTGCCATCTGTTTTCTGTTAGCACTCTAAGACAATATTGCTTTGTCTTCATTCTCAAAAATTGTAGCAGATCTTGTGCATATTTCCAGAACATAGTAAGGCAGTTATAGATTTTAGGGCAATCCATAACAATCACAAGCAACAACTCACAGGCAAATTATCATATCTTCCTCTTCAGTAGTACCTTGAACTCTTGGCATCTCTAGGTTCACCTCTCTCCACACCTAAACCCAATATGTAAGTCCCCTTAGCCTTTAGGTCAGAATCCAGATTCCTTAGCCTGGTATTCAAGGTCCTTCATAATCTGGTCTCTGTCTACTCTCTTTGCCATTTTCTCATCCTTCATGCTCACACCTCCCCCTACCTCACAAGCCAGGAGGATGGTGACTCCATGACCCTATCTCTGGAATCTCCTCCCATTTTCCTTTTCACTTAACTCCTGGTAGTCTTACAAAACTCAGCTTATCTGTCCTGCTGGAGGACTCCTTTCCTGACACCCAACCCACAGCCCCCAGCCACACACCTACACTTGAAAGGCTGGAGTAGGTGCTCCTCTGCACTCACATGACGTCCTGCCTGTGCCACACAGCTTGACTACCTGCCTCCAATTCCCGGACTGTGATTCTCTTAAAGACTGGGATCGACTGCTATCGATTGTCAATCCCCATACCAGGTGCTCGATAAATGTTTGTTAAATGTAAATATCTCCAATGGTTTCAGGCTTTTTTTTTTTTTTTTGAGACAGAGTCTCACTTTGTTGCCCAGGCTAGAGTGAGTGCCGTGGCGTCAGCCTAGCTCACAGCAACCTCAAATTCCTGGGCTCAAGCAATCCTGCTGCTTCAGCCTCCCAAGTAGCTGAGACTACAGGCATGTGCCACTATGCCCAGCTAATTTTTTCTATATATATTAGTTGGCCAATTAATTTCTTTCTATTTATAGTAGAGATGGGGTCTCACTCTTGCTCAGGCTGGTTTCGAGCTCCTGAGCTTGAGCAATCCGCCCGCCTCAGCCTCCCAGAGTGCTAGGGTTTCAAGGTTTTTATTAACACCTTGCAAGAACACTGGAATTCCTGCAGAGGACATAGATAAAGCAGGGATAAGGAAAGGGGCATGGCCCTCTTCTCTTCCCATTCACTCCTTTATGAGAGTTGGAGACTCTCGGGGAGGTCCTGCTTCTCTTCTGGAGTCTCTGCACCTCCCTCTTCCCCATGGAATGAAGGGATAACCCATCACTCCTGCCTTTAACATGATTGACTCACCATAAATTCCCTGTGAGTATAACCTGAATTACTGAAATTTGTCATACACATGTGATTTTTTTAATTTAGTTTTTTAATAGGCAATACATTCTTAGTCAAAACAAAAAATGCATGAAAAGTTACATAGTGAAACCTACCCTGACCCATGTCTCCCGTTTCCCCAGTTCCTTCACTCCACAGGTAACCACTTTTCTTAATTTCTTACACATACTTGGTTCCAGAGTTGTTTAATGCATACACAAATTGCAAATATATATTTTTCCATTTCTCCCTTCTTTACCAAAGCACAACATACTTTTCTGAACTTTGATTTTTTTTTTTACTTAATATGTTTTGCAAAACTTTTCTGACCATTTCTTTATCTGTTGCTTCCTCATTCTTTTGTACAGCTGCATAGTGTTCTGGTATGTAGATATATCATAATTTATTTAACCAAACCTTTATTGATAGACATTTGTGTTACTTCTAATTTTTTTTTGAAAACAATGTTTAAATGATGCACATTTAATCTTGATATGATATGGCATGATTCAATGTAAAATTCTTTTAACTTTTCAACTTTCACTTTATTTCAAAAAATATTTCTTTTAATCTATGAGCCAACCAATATGTGATATTTGGTAAAGGATAAATTAAGGTTAGACCCTAGATCAATGGCCTGAAAAGTTATTCAACTTTATGAGTTCATTTCCGGGCATTTATCCATAAGAATTTTGGATGATATAGCAGAGTATGAGTTCATTTCACTGGAGCAGGCAGCGTATGTGTAAACTTCGCAGTTTCTGCCAAGGTCATTTGGACAAAGCAGCATTCCAGAGTTCCCCTTGGGAAAAAAGCTCAATCATCTTGGTACTTTTGATGATCAGTAATATTTTAAGTTTTATTTGGGATGCTAGTGCAGCAAAGGTTTACAAAAAGGAGAAGAGCTCAGCATGTCTATCCACAACCAGAGTACCACCGACCTTTCGAGGAAGGCATAATGCATCAGTTTCAAGACTCTCCTCATTCCAGAGGCTGAGAGGTCAGTTGTTGGTTTTCTGACTGCTCCACAGTACAGAACAGACAAGAGTGGATTCTGTATGTTTATCTTGTACATACCTGCTACTGCGGAGGCTGGTGTTCCATTTGGCCGAAGGGGAAATTCCATCCACCCGCCCCCTCCTGTGCAGCCTGGTTGGCAGGGCTGCCTAGTGGGGACGGCCCTCAGGCATGGCGTCTGCTACGTCTCCTGGAGGGCAGAGCGATGGGTGGGAAAGGGCCAATCAAATATTATTGGAACTCACTAAAGGCTTATAAGGGTGCATTTCCTCAAAGGGGGATTAGTGGGGGTCATTATGGGGCTGCTCAGCCTAAACAATACCTGGGCTCAAGACCAAACCTGTAAGACACAGACTCATCTCCAATCAGAAAGGCTGGGTCTCCAGGCCAGCCGAGGCGCTCAAAGAGGCCACCATACTGTGGCCAAAGCTTTCTTGTAGGGCCCAGAGATCTAAACTCATTTAAAGCAGAGAGATGTGAGTGGCTCTATCTCTTCGATCTTTTAAGTGTGTATTTTAGTCTTAACCAGTTTGATGATCATTCTCCAATTTAAGAAGATAAAATAAAAAGATGGAGGTAAGATTAGTGGTCCAAATTAGAAGGAAATATTGCTGAAGAATATAGGTTTAAAAGCCCTTTTGTGCACAGTGTTCACAAACCTTGGCTTTGGATTGTTAGCCTTCCTAGCCTTTTTTGAGTTTTTGGTAATGTATTATATTTATTGGATAGGTTTCTGGAATGCTCTCTAATTAACTTACTTCCCCTCTTCTCATCACTTTGGAAACCCTACGTTGGATGACTTCTATTACATTTCCAATATTTATTAGGCAAAAGTTTACAATTATATTGCTGTTTTTCTGTGTGTTCATTTCCTGACACAAGTTTTCAGTGAGCACCTACGAGGTAGGTCCAGTTTCAGTCCCATTGGGTTGGATCAGAGAGCAAAACTGGCAAAATCAAGTTCCTGCCAATTTCTACACTGAAGGATGTAGTGGCAGGTGCATGACTTTGTATGAACAATGGTTGAACATGGGTTAGTTTCATAAACTTATTTCCAGTGCTTCTCAGGTTCAAAGCCCTGGGCTTGGCATGTGGGCCTGAGAGAAAGGTGAGACCTCCTGATGACTGCTTTTCCTTTTTTCCTTTCTTCCCCTTCCTTCTTTCCAGACATCTCCTGGACCTTCCCCAAACACACAGACACATAGATAAACACACACATCCAACTTGTCTTTATCTTGTATTTAATCTAAATACAGTAATAACTACATATATCTCAATCCCATGGTTTTTTATTCCCCAGTCTAAATCTCTTACTTTTGTGCTTAGGAGAGTTGTATCTGCTACAAAGGAAGGCCCAGTGGGCACAGCTTACACACATATACATGTCTGTCTTTGTATGTCTGAAACTACATGCAAGTAAGCACTCAAGAACTAAATTTTTATTGTGACAATATCTGTATGTTTCAGTTATCTGTTGCTATATAACAAAAAAAAAATTTAGTAGCTTGAAACGACAATCATTTTATTAGCTCATGATTCTGTGGATCAGAAATTTGGACTAGGTTCAGTCGAGTGGTCCTTCTGCTTCCCAGGACATTGGCTGAGCTCACTCATGGGGTTCCATTTAGCTGTGAATTTGGCCAGGACTGTAATGGTCCAGGTGTCTTCAGGCCCTTCTCCATTGGTCTCTCTCCAGAAGAATGGGACTTTTTCCATGGCATTTGGCTTCCAAAATGGAGACCCAGCTGTGGAAATGACAAAATGTCACTTCTCACATTTTATTGGTCAAAACAGATCTCAGGGCTAGCCCAGATTCAAGGGGAGAGGACGCATACACCCCCTCTTGCTGGGGAGTGGCACGGTCACAGTGGGAATGATCATGGAAGATGGGAGATACTGTTGCAGCTGTCTTTGGAAACATGAGCTACCACACTGAACAGACTTGTTTTATGTTATATTATTAAATTCAATATAAATCCAAGTTAGGCAGTAGTACTGAATCTAGTATTGTTTGTTTTCTCCTTGTATGTCCAAATCCTTTTTATTAATCAGCACATTAGCTGGTAAAGGATGTTTTAAATTATAATCCTGAATTTCATGGGTATCGGTCAGTATTTTTGGCTTGAAGGCACAAGAAGCAATTTTGGCTAACTTAAGCAGGAAGGGGATTTTCT